AAAACAATATAGCAAAGCTAGTTGGTTTGAGGTCATATACAAGTTTTTCTTTAACTTGAGAAGTTTACAGTTAGCTAGCATTCTGAATGCACTTCACACTTTAACCACATTTTTCTTATGGTTAATTATTAATTCTAAGTAGTAAAGATCATTTTTTAGATAAAGGCAAGATGGTCGTTAAATTGGCTGATATATCCTTGTATAATGTTTGCCACTAAATGATATGATTTCAATATATCATTTACCATGTTTAACATTTTTTTGACAATATATCGTGATTTTACCGATATATAAGGTGAAATTTCGATTTTGAAAAAATCAGCCAAAACGTTGCAATATTGATTTGGGCTTTTGTTTGTTTTAAAAAAAGGATTGGGTATATTATGACTTGGTTGAGGTCTAAACCCAAACAAATATTTACATTTAAAAATACTCAGATAGAAAAATTAGGGGTCAACTAAGACCAAATTCTTTTGCAAGGAGTTTTTGCGGCATTTTCACTTCCTTACCATTTACCTCGAGGAGTAATCATTAACCGCCTGTTGTCGAGAAGTTTCTCACTTCCTAAATCTCTCATCATTTGTACCTCTCCTCATTTACATCATCGATGCTAATGTAAGCTTTGGCTCAGAAGATGTCAAAAAGGCATAATTTTGGAGTTTTATACAAAATAGGTTTAGGCTAAAAATACACACTTAGAAATATCAGTAACCTTGTTAATAAAATCAGGGCTTAAACATTATAAAGAGATACCACTTTTTCTCCACATCTCCATTCTCTAATGTATCAAGTATAGACATCTATGATATATATAAATGTATGTACACACACATTAGCCAATATGACACCCCTATATTTAGTAGTAAATATCTGTGACATATCCCTGATTTCCTCCATCCAATATGGAAGTTTTCTCTCCGGCATGTCCCGGAAATTCGACATATAGAACACTATAAAGATGCACGCTCCTATGTGTTTTAATGTGGAGCTTTTATAGTTTTGCTAATGCTATCAAGTAAGAGCAAAGCATCTTCAGATTAACTATAAAAAAATATAATGTTTATCATTGTGAAATTAAGGTGCAAAACATGGTCGTTATCAACGACTACATCAGAAAGCATGCACAATATGGTCAACCTAACTATTAAGAAATTTGTAAAAGGAACAATAATGAATGTACCTCAAAGAAATTGCATCAGGTAGCATAGCAAGCCCTTTCCTGAAAGACCCAACAGTTTGTCCCTTTGGTTTTGGTAAATTCCTAAGAGCGAGCTAAATTCAATTCAATATACATCCAGTAAACACTCGAATAAGAAATGCAATTATTTCCAGCTATACGCATATACTTACGGATCTCGAGGTGGTTTTGGACTTTTGTTCCTCTCCTGAATCGCCTTGAAAGTTCCACCTATTATGCTTCCACCATTCTGCTCAAGCTTCCAAACTCTTCCAAAAGCTGCTTTCATACTAAGCTTTGCAGGGTCACCAGCATAGACACCTGTATGCAAAATACCAAAATAATATAAATTTCTTGTTCCGGATTAACTAAGCTACTTCAAGCAATGGCAACAGATGCCTGAGTAAGACTATATGCCCTTTAAAAACTGAAACACTCATCATAAAATGAAAATTATATATATTAAACTAATTAGAAAAGCAGACTAATGATGGGGTCAGGTATGGCAATAGTACAAGGTCAGATGTGATACATCTTTATAGTTTAAACAATAAGTTGAGCAACTCTAAAATTTCAATTATGTGGTAGCTTTTTCACTTTTCCATACTCCTCACTCGACAACATATAGATAGCATCAAGGTTATGGGTATAGCTTACCAACAGAAATTGTCTGCTTAGACAGGGATTGCCTCAAACATCACTTGAAACAAACAACACTGCTAAGATCAATTACACTTGATGTTCAATGAGACTATTCCTCATGCGTCAAAAGCAATCATATGTATTGGTAGATAGATCGAATGTAATGCTTGCAAACTTAAATTCAAGCTATAAAGACAAGTGAATGCAATTTGCTTTTCATGTCTTTTTCTTATTACTCTTGCATAATAAACAATTTTGAATCTGAGGCCTGAATCACTAGTCAAGGATGGTGTTAAGTTATGAGAAGTCCCACCAATGTCTTAAAAAGTGGGCGTCTAGCCCGCCTAGGCCTAGGTAGAAATTGTCTAGGAGAGCATGGCCACTTACACGGACCACACGGCTTAAGTCTTGGCCGTGATTTCATGCAATGGAGCCTTCACAACCTCCAACCTGATCCGAACTCCTCCGAGCTTCTCCACTAACTATGAACATCTCCTCCACCCCTCCTTCGACCTTCTGAAAATATCCTCCACCAACACTTAAACAAAGAAAGAAATATGTCTAGGCACTAGGCGTAAGTCCTGTGCCTAGCAATGCCAAGCGTTTTCTACATCATTGGCATTTATTATCAATTATTATAACTTTAAAAAACCAACATGGCCCCCCGCCTAGGCGCCTAGCCAGCCTAGCGCTTTTTGTAACACTGGGTGTACTTTTGACTTTACCATTCAAGCAGGCATTCTTCGTCCTTTTTTTTTTGTGAAGTCTACATGTAGTCTCAAGTTTATTTCTTTTTTACCCAAAAAAAGAAAAAAAGAAAAAAAGAAGAGTAACAGTTTATGCCGCAAGTAGGTGTGGTAAACGATCGAATCGAATCGAATACTAAGATGTTCGTATTTGTATTTGTATAAAATTATCGAATTCGAATGTGGACTCTAATATTCATATATCTAGTTTTTCGAATTCGAACTCGAATACTTGGTATTTGATAAATATTCACGAATACTTATCAAATATCAAAGTATATTTATTCCATTAAAGAATTTTATTTTCAAATAGTATTAGAATTCATTAATAAAATTTATTCCTTTATAATATATGATGTATATATATTTAAATCAAAATTTTAATTAGAAAATAGATTTAAGATTATTTAAGTCTTAAAATCAGTATGTAAAACTTAAGTAGAAATGGTATGTGGGTTAAAAATATGACATTATATGTGCAATAATACAAGTAATAAGCTATGATCAAATTTTAAATGAATATTTAATAGAAAAATAAATCGAATATACATCTGGTTAAATTATATTCGTTAGTAAACTCGAATACTAAAAAATATTTGTTTAGTGGTAAATGAACTACCGAATCGAATATGGTCGAATACTTATTCGAACAATTATCAAACTATTTGTTAATTAATGGGTTCACTTCCACCCCTAGCCGCAAGCACCATCACAAGTATATTAAGCAAGGTCATCACCTGAACAAAATGGTTCTATCAAACGTTCAAAAACCTCATCCCCGAGATTACGCCGAACAAACTCTTCGACCGATTCCTCACGCCCCTGAAACCTTCCGCAAAACCAAGTCACGACAAGAATCTATACGGACAGACAGGACGAGGGACTCGCGCAGCGTGAAATATAACAAAGCAGAAAAAGCGGGTATATCGGGGAGGAAAGTGACGAACTGGTGGAGGGGGTCGAATGCCGATGGCGCCAAACCCAGCCCTCAGTTTACCACCGATGCTCATCAGGTCAAAGAAGGGCAGGTCAGCTGGTTTTGAGGGCACGGGTCTGAGCTTTCCCTTCCAAAGAACAAAACGAGGGGCATCGGGATCGCCGAACACGAGCTCATCCTTCAAGCCACTGTCAACCTGCAAACAAACAACGCGCCCGCGTTAATGCCGAGCAGCAAAAGCCGGTACGGCTAGGAACAAGAGGTTCTGCTTGCGATTCACACAGACGACAATGTGGGCGCGTAAAAAAAATAAAAAAAAGCAAGAAAAATAAATAATTAATTAGTTAACTAATGAAAAGAGAAAACCACCTAGGGCTTTGTATAAATTTACCGCCATGGAGAGGACTGGATCCGAGGGCTGGAAGCTATTAGGCCCCTCCTCCCATAAATAGCCATCCCTCTCGACGGTGGTGACGTTGCCCCCAACCCGATCCCTCACCTCCATCACTAGCACCTTGGGGGTCGTGCCGGCGTGGCGCGTGGCGAGCGTCTGGGCGGTGCAGAGGCCGTTGATTCCGCCCCCAATCACGACGCACGAAATTCGAGCTGTCCCTGGGGATCCTTGCGGGTATCCTTATCCTCTCGACGGAGAAGAGAAGGCGAGGGAGGGAGGATAGAGATTTATTTGTTGAGTCGTTTTTTACGGGAATGCCACGGTTTGGGGGTGGGGGTTGTGTGGTTGGGCCTGGGCTGGGACGAGTGTGGGCCTAACTTTGTTTAGTTACGGACGAGGCCCATCTTAGAATCGGTGCGCACTGGGTTTCGGGCTAATAATAATAATCCAGAAGACGAAGACGGGAATCGGACAGGACGCGCGTGAACAAAATCTAACCCGATGTAGACAACAACAACCTCTACTGATTTGAAGCGCCGAGTTTTTTGACTCCGGGGAGCAGACAAGATGACCGGAGAGACTCGCCCTTCTATTTATTGCCTTTATTTTATGGGCTTAATTTGCTTTGATAATTATTAGCCCATCTGATCTGCCCATTGGAAATATCCTGGATCAAATTTTTTTGTTTTCTGCAATTTTAATTTTAACCGATAAAAAGTATAACCGACTCGAGGCGGAGGGGCATTATGCGTGACGTAGGAGAATCAATTGACTGAGGTTTAGAAACCAAACCTCCACAACTTTTAAAATTCAACTTTCTTTCCTTCTATCAATTTCTTTCTACGGTTATTATTGCCCGTTCTGACACTTTAATATCATAATAAGTTGTATTTTGTATCAATAAAACACCGTAAATTGTTTGTCATTAGAAAAAGTGCTGATGGCCTTAGTTTTTTACCGTAAAGACTGAAATGCCCCTTCCCTAATAAACTCCCCCCTAACAATAAAAAGCCCAAAAAAATCTCCCTCTTACGTTATTACAGAAAAATTACAGCGCCTTAGTTTGTGATTTCAAACTTCGTCACCATTGATTCAATGATATATTCTCGCCAGATTCCTTGATAAGGGGTTTCGCTCTGAAATTGGGGCCACAACGTAGAATTTTGGCTTGGATTCGAGTCATTTGAGGTAATATCTCCCAAAATCTGGATTTTTTTTACTTTTGGTTAGTATGGTACTTTGGGTCTTTTTTTAAGATTGATTGGGGCTTATATGTTGCTTTTTCATCTGCATGTTTGATAATTTTGAAATTTTAAATTTGTTTGATGTTGCATGCACTCGTCAGTGTGTTTGGGGTAGTGAACTACAATTGTTTATGTTTTACAGGGATGACAAAGAAGACTAAAATATTAACACATCATGGTGGGAATGTGTGACGGTTTCACACAAGGCTACAGTCTAAGGTGAACCCAAGGATGTCAAAACTGTTATGCACCCAACACTGTGCAACAACATGTTTCACCATCACAGTAATATCTCTCTAGTGGAATCAAATAAAAAAAAAGGGAAGGTACAAGCAGATATAATAAAGGTAATAATATAAGGAAAACGATATAGAGAAGAGATATCCAATAATAAATGTAATCATGTTCCAACAGAAGATAATAAATGCATCTGATAAGTTTGAAATAAGAGTAATAAATCTCTAACACAAGAGTCATCTGAATGCAGTACTAAGGCACTCAGCCTCTAACATGAAATACATCTCTAAAGACTGAAAATAAATAAAAAGCTACTGTAGAACACTAATTAATTACTAGTAGATGACGGCGAGCTAGACAGAACCTTCGTCAACCTACGACTCTCCGAACCCCCGACGCACTGTCTGAAAAAGATAGAAACAGCGAGCGTCAAAGCGCTAGCGAGAACATCTCCATCGCCCCCAGGAGGAAGGGGGTTAGGTGTATGAAAATACAAGTGATAGCATATATGCTATATAAATCATATGCACTAAACTAAGAGGAAATTAACATTTAGAAATCCATAACACGAGAATGGGTACGTCGAGTGAAATAATCCAAACAAGAAAACCCTCATGTATATACCATATATCTCAAATTGTGAATCGCTAAATACCAACTTCAAATCCTATGAATAAGAATAATAAACAAAGAACATCACATTATCACACATCATCCAAAACAAGTCGTCATATAACTACCATTGGGTAGTTAGCGTGGTAACAAGTATAACTATTCGGTAAAATATCTTATATAGTATACGTCGTGTATGACAAACTTCAGCCTTATACCCTACACTCAGGGTAGATAACATGGGATCAAAATACAATTCTATGATTCCTCTACAAAGAGAATGATGTGGAGTATAGGCGCTTACAATATCATGTGGCTCATCGTAATATTCTGCGATTCACTACCTTACTCGAACACCCTGCGGAGTATAGGCATATTAGCCTAATCCGAAACCCAATACAAATAAAAAAAATTGTAGAGTCACAACATCATGTGGTTTAGCGCAATCTCATGCGACTCACAACCGAACTCGCTCACTCTGCGGATTATAGGCATATCAGTCTAACCCGGAACACAATGATGCATAACGGAGTGTAGTCTACTGTGGTCTCATTACGGTGTACCAACTAACCCCACTCGAGCATCCAAAGCTGTTGTAATAGGAAATAAATATTTCTCTCTATCACGACAAACTCAAAGATTAAATTACGCACCTCAAAAGCTCGTGCGTGCTCAAAATCCAATATGTGCTCTCTCGTAAAGAACACATGTGTATCGATGTACGACTCGTACTTCGTACGGGCGGTCAAAAGCATGAGGAAAGAAACAATATATGCAAAACAGCCCAAGTCGGTCGACTAAAATGTTCCATCGGTCGACCGGCGACGTGCACAAATAAGCACTCAGAAAAAAGGCCTTGATCGGTTGACCGACTCCATGTTTCGGTTGACTGATCAGGGTACATCGGTCGACCGATTCTTTGGGTCGCTCGACCGGTTAGGGTTCAGGAACTAGAAGCATGATTCACAAAATTATACTGATTTTTCTCGCAAGAACTTGTGAAATTATTGTCATGGAGTGTATAAGCATGTATAAATCTCATGTTTAACATAGTGGGGGTTTATTCTACTACATGAAAATCAAAAATATAAACTTTTGAAGGGATTTACTAACCCTAACATGATTATATTGATAAATTCATCATGAAAACAAAATCAAATCGGCAAAATCTCATGTAAATTTTACTTCAGAACCTATATCCAAGTTAAGAAATCTGTTTCATAACATTTTAAATCAAAAAGATCAAATCTTTATATCATACATATTAATAGTGTGATCTTTACTCATAAAATATGTTTTAAAAATCCCAAAAACCAAATAAAACCAAGAAAAAAACAGGGGATATGTTTGGAGGAGATGAAACTTGTCTTAAAAACTTCGTGCTAAAGTCCCAAACACGTGAGAGACACGATCCTCCTTCACCAAACGCTGTAGATCTCGCCATCCTCTAGGTTTTTGCTCCTCAAAGCTCTCCAAATTCACAAGAGAAATCTCTAGGTTTTTTTGAGAGGGGGGTGGCTGTTGTTCACGTGGGAATAACAGGAGAAAAGAGGAGGAAATTAGGGTTTTATATATATATATAATATATATATATATATGAGAAATATGAGTATGTTTGGTACCAAGCACAAAAAGTTATGCTTGGCAGTGAGGTGTCAAATCACCCTACACTCATTCAAATGTGGGAACAAATTCACATGGGTACAAGCACAAAATTTGTGCTTGACCAATTATTGAATGAATATGTCATGAATCACTTAGAATTGTATGTTGAACATAGATTTGAGAGACTGGCTACTATTTCAGTTGATGATCGAGGAGGTAGTTCATACTCAATACCAATTACAACGCAATGATTATACGTTACCCAAATTGAAGTTAAGGATAGTAGTGTGGCTGAAGTTCAAGTAGAAAATGCTAAAGCGCAAGGTAGAGTGAAAAAGAAGGGAAAAGAGAAGGTAACAGAGAGGGGCAATGATAGTGATGATGTAGATAGAGTTCTTTTTGGAGAGTTAGATGAAGACTGTGTTGATGATTGTTGCGCCTCGAGAAACCAAAACAATCGCCGAGAAAGATAAATAACCAACCAAAATCAACAGCACAAACAACCAAACACCAGTTTTATATGGTTCGGCAAGATGTCTACGTCCACGGGGCAAGGAGGGGGGAGTTTTCACTATTAGAAATCAAGAGGAACAAACTAGGGTTACAAATCTCTCATAAACCCTCAACAATCAACTCCCAATCTCTCTAATTGCTCCTAGAATAGAAGCCCAAAGAAAACTCTCTCAATCTGTTCAAATTCGTCCTTGCTCTTACCCTAAAAAACACCCAATGGGTATTTATACAAATCCAAAACGAAACGGGTCTGAAAACAGGCCCAACTCAAAACCGCAGCGGCGGTCGACCGGTACGGTCGACCGCGATCCATCGCGGTCGCTCTCAGTAGAAAACCCAAACTCCAGAGAACCGTCGGTCGACCGCACCGGTCGACCGATCTCCTTCCAGACGCACAGGAAGCCTTGTGCACGAATGCGGTCGACCGGGCCGGTCGACCGCCACCCTGACAACATGAATCCTGAGCTCATCTCTTCAAATCTCCACCTCGGCGAAGATTCTACCAAACTGAGCCGACACCGATCAAACCAATACCTCAACTGTTGCACCCAGTATGCCATGGCAACGGACTCATGACAACGGACTCCAATCACAACACGTCGAGATCCAAACGGGAGTGCGAACACTCAACCCCAAACCAACTGTGTCTACTCACCAAACAACTGAGCCTACACCGACTACACCAAATGCCTCACTTGCTGAGACCCAAATGGGAGTGCGAACACTCTCCCCAAATGTCGATGTCGCTCACCAAATCGGCTGCATCATAAAGACTGCCTACGTATCCTCTTGCCCAAGGAATCAAGCCTTCACGTAGTTCACCCTATGGGCCTCCAAAGGCCCTCAATCCAATTTGCGGCTGATAGCATCATCAACGACTCTAAACTGAAACGATCCAAACACCTCCACCTGAGATGTAACAATGGCCGTATCCAAAACATATCCATCAGCTGCATCCAAATCAACTACCTCATCATCTGCACCCATAAATAAATGACTCCCACGCTGTGCCACCT